GTGGCGCATGCGCTATTAGCCAAGATTCTGCTCTGTCGCCAAGTATTTCTCAGCTAATACAAAACAGCTGTTAAATCTATATGTTCAAACTTTTCGGTGTCTTCAAGATATGCGTAAATGTCTTTAAATTCCGGATTCTTCTTAATTCTTCAATTATGGATTCACAGGACTCAATAACTTTTGAAGTGAGCATAATACATTTAACTGTATTCCCCTCCTCATCGATTTTTATTTTTGAAAGGGCATCGACAACTAAATTTTCTTTTCCCGGCATATGTTTTATAATTAAATTAAATTCTTGTAGTTTTAATGTCCACCGTATCAAGCAAGGCAATAAATTTTCCCCCGAATACAAGCATATACTGTTATCGGCGAACTTCCGAAGTAGACGCGAAACTTCTGAACCGCTAATAAAACAGCTAGCGTTTCTTGCTCTGTTGCTGAATATTTCCTTTGGGTGGAATTCAGCGTTTACGAAAATAAAGCTATCGGTTGCCCTTTCTGGGAAAGCATAGCACCGATTGCGTAATCGGATGTATCTGCAGCAATCTCTAGATCTTGTTCGCCTTCTGGGAATTTGAGGACTGGGGCATTAATTAGGGCATTTTTTAGTTGTTCAAAAGCGGTGTTCGCCTCGGCTGTCCAAGAAAATCTAGTTTTCTTTCTTTTCAGCACTAAAAGGGGTTCAACAATTTTGGCGAAGTCTTTTATGAACATTCTGTAATAGGAACATAAACCCAAAAACAAAGATAATTTCTTAACCGTGTTTGTGGAACGGTAACTTTTAATCGCCAATACTTTGGAATTATCGGTCTCGATGCCCTTATTCGAAATCTTGTACCCAAGGTACCGCAACTCCTTGGCAGCGAACTTGCATTTTTTCTCATTTATTTTGAAACCGGCCTCGTTAAGCAAGGCAAAAACTTCTTCCAAGTGATTCACATGTTCGTCTATCATTTTGCAGGTAATTATATCATCGAGATAAATGATAGTACTTTTACCTTTTTGTTATTGGAATTTCCACCTTTTCCCGTCTGTCGATGCGCACTCTGCTGAACTTGCGGTTTCTTCTGCGGAGTAAACCTTGAATTTTGGCCAAACTGGTTCGCACGCGCTTTCTCCGAGTTTCTTCTGCATTGGAACTTCACCGCAAGCTGGAAGAGATTTTCTAATGTTTGCGGAAATCTTGAGCTGACGGTAGTAGACTCGGTAGAATCACCTCGATAAGTTCACTATCGGGCCTCTTCTCCTATAATAAATTAAATACTTGGATTTTTCTTAGAATGAACTCCTTCAACTCATCAAAATTGCTTTGGTATTTACTATACAATTCCGACCCTAGCTTCGCAAGGTCTTTAACAACTAGAAATGCTTTTGATAATGCAGACTTGAAATTTTCCCCGCTGTATGATTTCGAACCTGGGTTCTCCCCAAAAAATTTGCTAATTCATTTGTACCATCTGAGGGCTTGACCTCTTAGGTTTGTAGCTGCGATAACTTTCTACAGATGGTTCAGAGGATGGAAAGTGAAATGCAGGTCCAGTTGCTTCAGGAAGGTCATCACTGAGCCTTTGCCGTCAAATATTGCGTCTGGCTTCACAGCGGCACGCATCGTTTCGATGATAAATCCTAATCCTTCCATTGGAATGGTGGACGTCTGAGGGACCTGAAAGGTCGGAGGAGTCAACGTAAACTTCCAGCTGTCTAACGACATAGCCCGTTGAAAAATTTTCGGGCGCCAATATAAAGATTCTGTACTGTTTACTTTAAGTTACAGTTGAATGTGAAGAATCTTAAGAACTAGTAAGCGAATAATCGCTTGAATTCGTGAGACAGTAAATGAACTTGTTAAAACTTGTTAAAAGACCCTTTATTATTCAAATAAGATTTAACAGAACTCCGTCTTGGAGTTGTACAATAAAGCCGACACTCGGGCTTGAACTTAAGAGACTAAGAACTAAATCAAACTAATCTTAACTAAAGAGATATAGTCGAAGCTAACAATTTTCTACCGTAGTTGGATCCTTAACGCTAATTGACTGCGAAGCTATCAAGGGCCTAAAGTACGGCCGAGCATAATAAAAGCTTAAGAGAGAGTAGCCTAAAAAGGCGGACGGGTGCTAACCTGAATCTCTGGTTCTCTCTGACTAAGACAGTAGAACTTCGCGGTTAAATACCACTCTTCCTCAATTTACATTCAGACATGATTCTAACACTACGTTCTGGCTGGAAGTGGTAAGTTGAAATTAAGAAAGAAAATAGGAAAGCAAGTTTAACTCAAAATTTAACTCTTAATAAAATTAACATAATCCTTAATCGTAACTTGTTATTTACACAAATGCAACAATTTTACTGCCAAGGTATACCACAATTGTTTGTAATCAATCATTCAATTTTCAATAATGTACTCACGTATTTGAATTAGTGTTGTCTTAAGGGTTCTCTAGATCATGGTGGACGTGGTGCTACTAATTAACCGTATGGTAGAGGCATAGTGCCCACGTCCCCCTTTCCTTATCCTTATCCTTACAAGGCAGTTTATAAATGAGTATAGTCTTGTTCCTTACATGGCTTGCCTGTTTTCTACGTTAGTGTATTTCATAATTTTTGCTAATTATTTTAATATCCCAGTTTTCTGTTTGGTACTTTATAAACGATTTCATTCAGAAATTTATAATTTCAGTCTATGCTAGTGCATTCCTTAATCTAGTTATCCACCCCTTACAGAACCAGGTAAAAGCGTTAAAGACCTGGCTAGAAAAATGGAAAATTCAGTTCAACATTGAAAAAAACTGTGGCTACTTTATTCACGAAGAGAATTACAATAAATATCACATTTTATGAAACTACTTTGCCCTAAGCATGTTACGTATCTCGGGGCGATCCTTAACAATTCTTTCTCATGGACTCCACGCATCGCATCTATCATCCGGAAGTTTTGAGTATGTGAAGCTAAATTCTATTCCTTAAATGCCAGAAACAGCTTTCTATTTATTGATAATAAGTAATTTATTTAGGAATCCATTTTGCATCACCTGTTGTGCTATGCCAGTCAATCTGGACATATTTCTGCCAATCTACAAACTACAAACTGCCTAGAACAGTTTCTGAGGCTAATGTCGAATTCCCCTTGGTACAAAGTAGGATCCATCAGGAAATGAAATTTGCCCAACGTATAGCATATTAGCATAGCCTAGCAAAAAAATACTTTGAAAAATCAGAAGAAAATTACTACTTCTGAAATCAAAATCTGCAACTATGCTTATAATAATCCAAGCAACAGAAAGCAACTTAGGTATCTTTATAGTCCCAAATAGGTATCCAACTTAGGTATCTTTATAGTTTAATCATATGTTTTCTTACTTTCTCAGTACCTCTTTCTAACTCTCTCTCTCTGTATATATATCTCTATATATAACAGAGAATATAAGCATATGTGTGCTTATATTCTCTGTTATATATATATATATATTAATGCTAGCCCCATATGATTAACATCTACCTATTTTTGTTGATCATCAGTTCGACAGCTTTCTAAAGTCAAAATTATCGTCACAACTACGGCTCCACTTAATTTTTTTTAACAAGTTCTGGTACATCTTGAGTTTTCAAAATTTTAAGTGCATTCGATTTAGGGTAGAACCTTAAGTCCGGGTACCCAGGTGTCTAGGAACTGTAACGTACTAGCTTAATGTATGCTTACAAATACCTCTCTTTTTTTGGTTGCTTCTGGAAATAAATGTTTATTCAAATCTGAAAATATGCAAAATCGGAAACAATGAAACCAAACAAATGTGTACCTTGGGGCAAATGAGCAATGAACAGTTGACCATGGAAGCCCAAATCTAGACACTTGCTTTGCATTTCTCTATTATGCAGCAGATTCCTGGCCAAACTCTACTCCTATTAAAAAAAAGAACACAAATTCTTTAAATACACATTATGGCCTTCATGGATTCAAGAGTACTGCTTCTGCAGGACTGGTTTGATTATGGAAAAACACTCAAAGCCTCTCTGTCTAAAAGAGGGATACCTTTTCGAAGGGCTATCTTAGGATACCGATTCGTAACTACATACACGTAGAGAAAGCAGCGAAAACGCCCATGCAGTCAGCACTTTCACGAGCATTTGAGTGCGAGTCGAACTATCCGTGATCAACGATTTTTCTGCTTGGTTCCTGCTGAGAACGCTTCTGCGGAATTCGAACCTAGGTCCTAAGACAAACGATTCCGTTAAGAGCGAATTTTGAGAAACATGAATGTAGCCTTTTGGCAATAGATGGCGTTGACCGTTGCACTGCTTTTCTGACGTCAGAATAACCGGTTGCTACCTTTGTCAGGATTCTCTCCAAGGTGAAAATGAAATTTTTTTCCAAAGAGAGTTGACGCTAATGGCCCGGGTAACCATAACAACACCGCTTTAGGGTTAAATAACACAACCCCTTAAGCTATGAACACCACCTGGAATACTGGAGAATGGAAAAGACTTCGTAGGGGGTCTTTTTCAAAGCGAAAGGATATACATTCAGTGATCGTCTTTCAGTTGTGCAATAAGCGCTGTAATGAATTAATACTTTCTAGTCACTCATTGCCTTCTGTAGATTTAGTAAATTTCATTTCCAATATTTAGAAACGCTGATTTGCTTTTCAATAAGATTATAAGCTCTAGGATGACAATTATTAATAATCAAAGCTTTTTTTTTTTTTTTTTTTTTTTTTTTTGTCCTTGTGTTGTATAGGAATGACTAAGCAGCATTTTATTTTTATATAGTGTGTTTCCAAAAGTAATGCATAACCAGACAACTGAATGCAAAGTAAGACAAACAAATGGAATAAAACCATGGAAATGGAATCAATGGAACCAATGGAATAAAAGAAAATAAGAATTTTTCTGACAACTGTTTGTTGCAGAGTAGTCAATCAAAGCATTTAAATATCTGGCATCAGTAATAACTTCCTGAAGTCTTGCGTAGGTGTTTAAGTAGTAAATAAATAATGTTTGAACGTCTGGCGGGCAATAATTGGTTGTAGCGGTTACTCTTAAATCTTTTAAAAATTTTTCCTCCTCCTCCGTATTATTCTTAAGAAATAAGCAATGACAGTCATTTATACAGTTAATATGCGTATATTACAGTTTTGGATTTCCTTTTTTATAGCTACATTATATGAATGTGTATACTATGATATAATTTTCTGTTGAATTTTAAAATGAATTGTGTATAAGAGCAGTATCTGAACTGTACAGAACTTTTCGTATTTTAGAGAAGTGGACTTTAAAACCGATCAGACGGCTACTTAAATTTTATCGGTAAGAGACGTTATCAGATTATAGTTACGGATAAAAACTCGTGATATCTAAGATTTGGAAATTTCGCTTGTTCTCCATGATCACGTTCCATAAATGTTTCTTTTCTCATACACTGTGGAAATCTTTCTAAGAAGTATTAAACTGTTTAAAGATTTTCTTTCATTTATGCAGTATTATTGTAAAGCAAACGAAAGATTTTAATTTAAAAATTAACATCACTTAAGTTGCTAAATCCTGATTACAAATTAAATATTTGTTTTGAATAAGAGATAGCTTAGGTGTACAGTACAAGTAAGTTTATAGTATTGCCATCAGTTATAAATAACTATTTTAACCAAATTTTGTTCAAAATATCATACAGGATTCTTTAGTGCTGCTGAAGTTTGAAATAATTATTCATATATGTATATATATTTAATTTGTGAGAAATTTGGATTATTATAATGTTATAGTTCATTTAAGCATTTAAGAACTACCGATTAATTTAACATAAGAAAATTTGGCATTTAAGAACCACCAATTAATTTTAACTTTAGAAAGTTTTATTTTCAGTGTTATGAGTTGTTCCAATTTCTCTTTTATATAGGTAAACCATGAAGATTCTGTTTTTCATACTTTTATGTGTGATATCGTCTCATGTCTGTGCGTTAGATAATGGATTAGCTTTAACTCCACCAATGGGCTGGTTATCCTGGGCACGTTTTGTTTGCAATATAAATTGTAAAGATGATCCTGAAAATTGCATAAGGTAAGAAATGTGAATAATCATTTTCTTACATTAAGGAAAAAAAGAAAAGAAAAGGGTAAATACTTCTAAATTAAGTTCCTAATTTTCATACAATTATGTTCAAGTTCACAGTAAAAGCATTCTAATTGTATTCTACTGTAATTTTGAGGTTATTCAAAATGTCTTCATTTATTAACTTTAAGATGATTTATTAATCCAGGAATATTTCTGCATATTTTGTTGTATATCTAGTGAAAGGTTATATATGGACATGGCTGATCGCCTTGTAGCCGATGGCTTTAAAGATGCAGGTTATGAATATATAAATATAGATGACTGCTGGATGGATAAAGTCAGAGACAGCTCTGGTAGACTACAACCTGATCCTGTTAGATTTCCGAATGGAATTAAATCAATTGCAGACTATGTGAGTAGATTATTTATTTTTTAAAAATAGCTTTGTAAGTTATAAAAAGTATTATGTTTGTGTCACTGTTTCAAAAGGAAAGTCATTTATATATGTTTGTGTTTGACACATGCAGTCGGACGTAGCTAGCTTGATGTTCTTTCGGGATATTATATAGGGATAGATTTATATGTAAGTTAGGGATATCATTGGCAAAATATTTAGCCACTGATATTTCTAAATGTCTTCTATAGAAATTAATGAAAATATAAAAGTATAAAATAAGTGAAATAAATCTTTGTTAGTAAAACAAGTGTGTAATATGTTTGTTTTACTGAGAAAAATAGGGAAAAGTGCAGAACCACCCACTGCTTAGCGCGTTTTTAAGAATTGCACATACTCGGTATCCATGTATACATAGACCTATTTTCACTCAAAAAAAATCCCAGAATTGCACAAAAATGGCATTGTGCACTCCCTTGACTTTATCCATGTATACATCGACCTATTTTCACTTAAAAAGTCAAAGAAAATTGACAAACATCCAATTCTTCTTACTGTAGTAAAAAGCACCAAACAAATAAGTGGGCAATTCTGCACTTTACCCGAAAAATATATCATCTTAAGTATATTTATTTTAAATATATGAATTATATATATAAATATATAAATTAAATATATATGTATATAATTTGTCATTAAAACATTTTTATATACGATCTCCAAGGAATAGAAATTCAATCAAAATCATCAAAATTATTATAATAAATAAATTTTTTATGCAACAGTTTAATTTGTATTTCTAGACTTCTTCTGCAATAAAAACCATAAAAAAGTAAAAAGGAAAATTCTGAATTGCAAAAATACCAAAATCGAAAGTAAACATTTTAAGTATTGAAAAAGTAGTTATTGTCATTGACTGCAGATTAATTGATTTGTCAAGAGGAACAAACCAATCTACTATCAATTAACAACAACTAAATAAATGAGAGTGTTTGGTCATTCTTCCAAGTAAGGATCCAATTAATATTTTGCAGAGCCAGATCATAAGCTATGTACAGTTTAAATCAACAGAAAGACATTAGTTCATTTTAGCTAATATATATATATATGTATGTAAGATATAACAAAGTACGATAGCTGATTTAAAAATAATTGGTGATCTCAAAATTAACATTCTAGATTTGGTGCTCTTCCTTGGTGTTCTTCCAAATTCAAGATCTTTGTATGTTATGTAACACTACTGGAAAAAGGCAACTTAAACAAATATTAGCCGATCATAGCTTGTCTCTAGAATCACACCTATTTTAGTATAAATACTTCTGGCAAGCTAGTTACGTCATTATTCTGCTGCACTCTTCTGCTAGCTTCTACATTGCTAATAACTCCCTGCTTCGCCTCTTTAAAAATGCCTGCGTCATTTCTTATTAAAAACCAATGTACATAGAAATTTATCATATTTCATTATGATTGAATCGTAGAAAAGTATCCGATTTCATTATGATTGGATAAATATGTACTGAGATGATTTTATATGTGCGAAAATAAAGACTGGAAATTCTTCAAGCTCAAGTGTGTTAACTGCATCATCATAGTTTTTACTTTCAACCATTACTGTCTGCTCAGCCATGACTGTTATCGAAAGTTGTTTAGAGTTCCAGCCATCATGACTGTACTTCAAAATTATGACATATGTATATAATTAGAGCAGTATTTAAAAATATTCTGGGGGAAATTCCTTAAAATACTTAATGAATGTAAATTTTCCTTTTTTTGTTCAGTGACCTACCCATCAACAGAAGTAAATAAAAGTGTTAGGTGATAAATTTTCTCATTGTCATTCTATTATTCCACAAAGTGCAAGCTTCTGCATTACCATGAATAGTTAATTTGCTAAAAATATAGAGTTTTATAATAATAGTACATAATTTAATATTTTTTTCAATGTAGTATCACTTACAGAAATATAGATTTTTTTTTGTTAAAAAATCATCATTTTAGAAAGTGATAAAAAAAAAAAAAAAAAAAAAAAAAAAAAAAAACTAAGAGGATTCAGATTTTAAGTTTGCACCAGAAGGTTTGTTAAGGACTTTTGTGCTCTTGTTGAGCTCTTAGTCTATCTGTCTGCTGGCACAGTTCTACTGTCACTTAGTCTTTCTGACACAACTTTTTATGTGTTTTTAACTTTATTATTAAACATAATTTGGTTAATCTTTGGAATATGGTAACAGGTAGTTTAGCGACATTTTGGTAGGCGATAAAGGTTACTACTTAGGACTTTGGGAATAATGTGAGAAGTACTCAGTTCCGATTACGCATTATTTTGTGTGAGGGAAATGAGAGATCATGAGATATGTCATGTGACATTAATGGACGAATTACAGTTCTTTAATCGGAAAAGGGGGAGAATCTGGAAATTTTTTATTTAGCTTCATTCTGTGTTGTGTGAAACAGTGTTGGTTAATTTTTGGATCCCATGGCCCTATCTAAAGTGAATTCGAAATGGGTATTTAGTGGGATTGAAAAGGGTAGTAATAAGTGTTTTTTTAAGGTTGTGCGAGATAGAAGTAAAGATTGCTTATTAAGTTTTATTAAGCAGTATATTCTACCTGGTACAATAATAATATCTGATTGCTGGAAGTCGTATGCCTGTTTGGAGGATGAAGGTTTTCAACATCTTGCTGTTGAAACTATAAGTATGATTTTAAAGATCCTGAAACAGGCGCACAACGATTGCTTTTTATTTAGCGGAGGAAATAAGAAAGTTTATCCACCACGTAATCAAGATTCTGAAGAAGATTAGGTAAGTTAGTATTTTTAATTATTTGAGGATATTATTTTTATGCATTGTTCTAAATGTAAGGAGTAAATAAAGTAAATATGGTATTATTGGAAAATTGTTATTAGCAATGAATTTAGTTTAAAGTAATTAAGGATTCGTAAGCTAATTTTTATTAATTTCAGTGTATGTGCTTATTTATATTTTAAATAGTGTTTTTTTAATTTAATTATATTTTAATTAAATGATAGTTATTTTGTGAATTATATGTTTGTAGCAATTTGGTATACGTTTCAGTGGAAGTAAACGTGCATGGAAATAATTTAAGTATTTGACACTAAGTATTTGCAACCATTTTTAATGTTTGCGTTATGAATTTGTTGGTGACGTTTATAATAGATAATTTAGAGGTAAAAGTTTTTGGATATTTTATTTATTTTATATGTGCAAATGTTCATCCTTGGAAAGGGTATATACTTTTTCGCAATCAGGTAATTTCATATATGTCCTTTTTATCGGATTTAAAGATTCACAAAATTTTCATGCTTTTCGTGAAATTTTTCTAATTTATGAGAAAAAAGCAGTGTACATGGATATAGTGAAGAGTGTGCGCAATGCCATTTTTTGTGCAATTCTGGGATGTTTTTTTAAGTAAAAATAAGTCGACGTGTACATGGTTTAGTTATATTTTAATTAAATGATAGTTATTTTGTGAATTTTATGTTTGTAGGGATTTGGTATACGTTTCAATTGAAGTAAACGTGCATGGAAATAATTTAAATATTTGTCACTAAGTATTTGTAACCATTTTTAATGTTTGCGGTATAAATTCATTGGTGACGTTTATAATATAATAGATAATTTAGAGGTAAAAGTTTTTTGGGATATTTTATTTATTTTATACGTGGAAATGTTCATTCTTGGAAAGGGTATATACTTTTTCGCGATCAGGTAATTTCATATATGTGCTTTTTACAGAGTTTAAAGATTCACAAAATTTTCCTGCATTTTCGTGCAAATTTTTGTAATTTATGAGAAAATAGCAGTGTAGATGGATAAAGTTAAGAGTGTGTGCAATGCCATTTTTGTGCAATTCTGGGAGTTTTTTTTAAGTAAAAATAAGTCAACATGTACATGGTTTATGGGTATGTGCGATTCTGAAAAACGCGGCAAGGAGTTTGCGATTCTGCACTGTTTTCCCAATTTTGCAGTTAATATTGTCATGATTAAGCACTTTTGTTCCAATAAAATTTCTAGCATAAGTGTAATTCGGATAGCAGATTGTTGGAAAAAGTGTTCAGGTAAATAAAAAGAAAAGAAACACTGTTTTTACTTCGTGAAGACAAAATGGCCGCAAAAAAAAAAAAAAAAAAAGAAAAGAAAAAAAAAATAGAGGGTTGCTGTAGCAGAGTTGGTCGCCAAATTTTCGCCAAAAACAAAATCGCCGAGTTACCATAATTCAAAGATTAACCCATAATTTTCTTCGCATTTGTGCCACATGAATTTCAATAACAAAATTACAATATTTTAAGAAAACAGTCTATCTTTATAATTTCTGATGTAGTGTCAAGTTTTGCCATATGTTTTTTTAGCCTGGAGGGGCTATTGTTCTCAAACCTCACTTTTGTTGTCCATTTTACTTTTCATGTAACTGGATGCTGGTGTAGCCATCCCCCTGAAATAGTTACCATGAAAAAAAATAAATATGTAATGCTTATAATAAATCTAGCTAGTGTCATTTTGTGGTTACAGCTGGCAATAAATAAAAGAAACAAAGAACTGCATTTATTGCTTTTAAATCGCTCAGTTTGTTAAGCATTAAGAGGCAGATTAAATTTAAAAGAAAAATTAAATGCAGTATAAAGTCCGAGATCTGGACGTCCAATATCCGGCATGACCTAAAATCGGACCTCAGAGCCACCAATAACTTTTAGTTTTATTTATTATTTTTTGGTATGCTTTACCCATGAGCATTAAGTCTCCCTCCACGCATAATAAAACATGTGGAGAGTCTCTATTCTTAATTTCACTTCGGCACTAAGTAAAATACTTCGTTATTACAGAAACAATTATTTTAGCATAAATTTGTATGGTCAATAATTTGGCTCCATAGCTGCATATCTGCTTGGCATACATCCTCAAACTGAAACATTCTATGTTTGATTTTACACCTGTACTAATATTTATAACCCTGATGCCAGAACCTGGCGAATCATTATTTATTATACAGGCTGTTTATAAA